CTTAGGGGACATTATACTCTAAAAGGAGAGAAAGATAATAAGAAAATAAATAGATATTTAGTGAGACAGTGATAACTTCTAGGTGAAAAAAATAAAGTAATTAAGGAGGGGTTGTTTTAGGTAGGTAGATTGGTTACATCTGTAGTTCTTAAATGGGTGTCATTTTCAATAGCAACAAAAATATAAGGTATCTAGGAATAAGCATAACAAAATACCAGTAAGACTTTTGTGGAAAAAATATGAATTTTTAGTGAACAGAAGACTGAAATAAATGCATACATATTTCAAGTCTAAGAATATGAAGAGTCAATCACCTCACACCCACCAGAATGTCTACCATAAACAAATCAACAAATGACAAGTGCTGGCAAGGATGTGGAAAAAAGGGAACCCTCGTGCACTGCTGGTGGTAATGCAGACTGGTGCAGCCACTGTGGAAAACAGTCTGGAGTTTCCTCAAAAAATTAAATCTGGAACTGCCATTTGACCCAGTGATCCCACTTTGAGGAATATATCCCAAGAATACCAAAACACCAATCAGAAAAAACATATGTACCCCTATGTTCATAGCAGCATTATTTACAATAGTTCAGATTTTGAAACAGCCCAAGTACCTATCAGTAGACAAGTGGATAAAAAAGCTGTGGTACATTTATACCATGAAATACTATGCAGCTGTAAAGAAGAAGAATCTCTTATCCTTTGAGACAGCATGGAAGGACCTGGAGAATATTATGCTAAGCAGAATAAGCCAGTCAGAGAAAGACAAATATCATTCATGGAACAAGATGATAGAGCTCAGAGGTGAAGGAGGTGGGAGACTGAAAGAGATCAAAGAACTTTATATGCATTATGCATAACCCATGGACATAAACAATAGTATAGTAGGCCTTGGGGGGGTGCAGGTGTGGGGTGGAGGGGAGTCAATGGGGGGAGATGGGTACAAGTATCTGTAATACTTTTAACAATAAAGATAATCTTTTTAAAAAGAATATGAAGAGTCAATAAAGATTCTCCCAAAATGAATCTAAAAATTAAAATTCCAGCCCTAACTGGTTTGGCTCAGTGGATAGAGTGTCGGCCTGTGGACTGAAGGGTCCCAGGTTCAATTCCAGTCAAGGGCATGTACCTTGGTTGCAGGCACATCCCCAGTAGGGGGTGTGCAGAAG